AGTTGCGTGAGCTGCAGCAAGCGCATATTGTAGCTACGACATATCAAAATTAGCATGTGCAAGGACATGAAGCGTGTGTCCCTATTACACACAGCTGGCACATGCCAGGCAGCAGCACCACTGCCAGCTCACCAACGTTCAAGGCACCCCTGCCCAGTACCGAAAGCCCTGAATCTAGTGACTTGAGACCTGCACCCAGTGTCTCTAGCTTGATTCTGACCATGCTGAGCTGCCCTTCGGTTTAAAGATGTCAACACACAGTAGCACTGCAGGTAACGGACGTGCAACCTGCAAAGTCCGATGCAACGTGCATCACGCTTCACAAAAACAGCATTTAGCATCGTATACTTTGTGATGTGCGCCGTTTCAGGGACTGAGGTGAAAGTGGCGGGGTTCACCATGAATTGACAGTCACCGAAAGTATTTCGTGCCCGCCCGCCTCTTATCCGTGCTGTTGCCTCATTGGCGTGATCCTCAAGCTGCCGGAATGTCTACGTGTTGCGTGTGCTGACACTAAGGTTTTGCGTTGCATCACGGCTAGGCTTGCAGCCACCAACTGGGGAAGCAGCAGCTGCAGACTTTCTGCTGGTGTATGTTCACTCTGCAAAGACTGTTTCACCAGGCTACACATACACACAGCAGCTGTTGCAGAAACGTGATCGCCATGGCAACAGCAGCCACCAAGCGCAAGGCAGTGCAGATAGGCACGCACAGTGGCACCTTCCACTGTGATGAGGCTCTGGGCTGCTTCATGCTCAAGCTTACCCCGCAGTTTCAGGACTGCAGCATTGTCAGGTCAGTGGAGACATGTACAAATTAGTGCAAAGATGCTGTCAATCCGTCCAGCAGAAGTAGCCTAGTAGCCCTCGTAGGGCATGGACTGTGCCAGGAGTTGCAATTGCAGCAGTCAGGGCGGCCATGTTGGGCAGACAAACAGGTTATTGCGCATATGCAAGCGATGTGTATCAACCAGCGCAGTAAGCACAGTGCAGAGGCTTCGCATATGATTGGAATCAGCTGCCTGCAGCACGCAGCAGCTTGCTGTTCAAGCTGCGGGTGCTTGCAGGACGGCCTCCAGCTACCCCGCTGCCCAGCAGCCATTGCTTCTCCCTGCTGCCTTGCTGCCGCTAGGTCTCGCGATGCTTCAGTGCTTGCTGAATGTGACGTCATCATTGACGTTGGCGGCGTTTATGAGCCCGAGAACAACCGCTTTGACCACCACCAGCGCGGCTTCAGCGAGGTGTTTGGCCATGGCTACAACACGAAGCTGTCCAGCGCAGGTGCGGCTAGCTGCAGCAGCCTACTGGTGCTGTGGAGAGCTGCTTGCCACCGCAGTGTAGCTGCACACAGCCTTGTGCTGCGGAATGCCTCTGGGGATACACATGGCGGCATCTGCACAAGCTTTTGAAGTAGCTGCTATGTTGGCAACACCTCCCAATGAACTCTAGCTGCCTGCATGATGCCAGCAACAGTGTGCGTGACAGCAACAGGCAGCTGCTGCTGAGCAGATGCTGATGTTTGTGATGAACGTGTTTGTAGTGCGTGGACCCCAGCACCTGTGTTGCATGCTGCACGTCCACTTGCCCTGCAGCCCCTTGCCTGCAGGCAGGTCCAGCATGCATGTGGACTCGACGTCATTGTACCCCACTGCTGTGAAAATCTGACCATTTTCATGGGACCCCTCCGTCCGCTTGCTCCTCATGCTGTCACTTGCGCTCAACACATGCTGCAACCTGCTGTGCCCGTCTGTCGTGTTCCGTGTCATGCCGCCCAGGCCTGGTGTACAAGCACTACGGCAGGGACGTCATCGCGTCCCACATGAAGCTGCCAGCAGACCACCCTGATGTGGAGACAGTGTACCTGGAGGTGTACAAGAACTTCATTGAGGCCGTGGATGCAGTGGACAACGGCGTCAACCAGTTTGACACAGACTCACCTGCCAAGTGAGTCAGCAGGGCGCTCCTGCAGGGGTCGGGTGTACGAGGCTGGTGCTGCTGCGTCAGCAGAGGGGATGCTGCTGGCGCTGTGTTGGCTGCACAGGCGTGGCGGCTGCACACCTGCTTTGGCACCACGCATAGCACCTATCGACGAATGTGTGTCCCCGTGTGAGGCTGCGCTGTGCTGGCTGACATGCTCATGTGTGTGCTTGGGATGCACCAGCAGCAGCTGCAGCTGCGCGTCCACAAACGTGCCTCGCTCGACTGCTGTCTCGCCGCATGCCTGCTGCTGCGCCTTGCAGGTACATCGTCAACACCACGCTGGGGTCCCGCGTGGCGCGGCTCAACCCCACCTGGAACCAGCCCTACAACGATGAGACGCTGGACGCTGGCTTCGCCAAGGGCATGGAGCTGGCAGGTGCGGCTGCAGCGGCAGCTGGGCAGCACGGCAGCGCATTGCTGTGGCTTCGCCGTTTGTGTGTGCGCTCTGTGGTTTGCAGCTGCACAGTTGCAGAAGGGGGTGACAGAGGCGTGAGTCTGCGTAGGTGTTTGAATGCAGTCAGCAGCGCGCGGCATGAATGGTGGCAGCTGCCTCCTGTGGATCTGCTGCCAGCCAAGCGCCAGCATTCATGAATTGCAAGGCGATGCTATCACTGTGCTGCTGCACAGGCAGTGTGTGGTTTGGGTCAGTTGAACTCAACTATTACTGCGTGTTGCTTGCTCTTTGCAGGCAAGGAATTTCTGGAATCTGTGCACTATGTGGCAGACGTGTGGCTGCCCGCCAAGCAGATTGTGGCGACAGCCATTGCTGAGCGCCACCAGGTGGACCCCAGCGGGCAGATCATCGTGCTGAAGCAGGTGGGAAGCAGCCGCTGCTGCCACTGCTGCCGGCAGCAGAGCTAGGTGTTTCCATAGTGAGAGCACATGGCTGCAACTTTGCCACATGCTTGCATCGTCACAGCAGCCGCGCGCTGCTGATACGTAGCCTGTGCACATCAGCACACTAACATGTGTTACAGCGAGTAACAACGTAACAACGTTTGCCCCACGTGCGGTGTATACCACTTGGAAGTTGGACCCTCCTGACCCACAGACAAAACATGGACGCAGCAAGACAGTATTGCGCACACTGCACTGATGCACAATACAACTGATACCTTAATCTACCTTTCAAACCCTCTTTGCATCAGTGGATGCCATGCAGCTGTTGCAGCCGCTGCATTGGATGCTTAAAACATGGAGTGGTCTGCTGTCAGCACGCTGTCATGTCTGACTTCAGCTTCCTGTGTCGGCTGCCGGCTTTCTTGTCCCGCTAGGGTGGTTGTCCTTGGAAGGACCACTTGTTCAACCTCGAGAAGGAGCTGGCAGTGGAGGTGCCCATCCTGTATGTGCTGTACGAGGATGAGCGGGAGCGCAAGTGGCGCATCCAGTGCGTGCCGCCCACGTTTGGCAGCTTTGACCAGCGCAAGAGCATGCCAGAGGCATGGCGCGGCCTGCGTGACGAGGCTCTGTCTGCCGTGTGTGGGGTGCCTGGTTGCGTGTTTGTGCACGCAAGCGGCTTCATTGGCGGCAACGCCACGTATGAAGGCGTGGTAGAGATGGCACGCAAGAGTGTGGCAGCGTGAATTTTGCCAGGGCTGGCAGCAGCATCTGTGCACAGTGTAACAGGCGGTAGGTGACGTGCGTGCAGCCCCTGAGCATACTGCGCAATGCAGCCAAAGGCAGCTTGCGTGCTGAGCAGCCCAGCCCTTCCCTTCCCTGCTTGCAGGTGTGGTTGCAGCAGGTGGTGTGCTGTGCCCTGGCACGTGATGCAATGCAACAGACCGCACCCAATGCAGCATTGCCATGTGCGAATGTCAATTTCGAAGAAGAAGAGGGGTTACACGGTGTGCACAGGCAACTACGTTGCAACGAACACCCGAAAACACAGGAAAACTGCAGGAAGCTCAGCACAGGCCGTCACTCATGTGCTATCGAGTTCATACGATATGTGAGCTGAAAGTAGGGCGAGTGACTCACTCTCGGGTGATAGCTTGCCTTCTCCTGTAACAAGCCTCTCCCATGTGAGGCCCAACCCCAGAGAAATGGCCCCCGTGTGTAAGTTTCGGCATATGGCCATGCTAGCACAGCCGCCTTCCTTACTCCACACAGTTCGCCCCCAGAAAATGTATCCTTATACGAGAAGTGGAAAATAAAGTGCTGCCAGCAGTGTCAGTGACGGCAAGCAATGCAGAGAGAACACAGGGCCGCCATGCACTAACTGCATTGCGGGCGGGCTGAGCTCACCAAGCCGCAGCTCAGCCTGGGGCGGAGCGCAGCTTGGGCAGTGAAAAGATGGCTGGAAAAATGCAGAGCTGCCCAAAGCCACACAAACACAACCGCATGTCACAGCGGCCTGTCAGCAGCCACTCAGCAGACCAAACAAGCTTCCACCCAACGGGCAGGTCAAATAGCAAAGGCAAGGCACTATTGTGCAGAATGCCAGCGCCAGCGCCAAATCATGATGCACTACCTTCGGCTGCCAGTGTAAACACGGCATGGCCCCAAAAGCAGTGGCAAGGCATGCAGCACAGGCACAGACAGACTCGGCCAAAACATGCAGAGCCTTTGGTGAGAACGAGAAGAACCACGCAAAAGGCGGCCCAGCAAACACCATGTGCGAGCCAAGCTCACAAGAGATGCAGAGGCAGTAACAGGCATGCTGCCCAGGCACACCAAACGCCCCAAACACGCTGGCACAGATGTGCAGGCGGCCCGCCCCAACACGGAGACTGCATGGCAATCAGAGGAATATAAAGGTGTGCAGCGGTCAACACACAGACATGCAAGTAACCAGCACCACCAGCCTAAAGGTAGCCCTTGCCAACGTCTGTGCTGCAAACACACAGCATCATACAACGTGCAAAACAGCGTGGCTGCCAGGGCTCACGTAGTCCCCGGCCTGCCTCAAAGCGGCTAGCTCCGCCAAGAGACGAATGTCGATTTTGAAGAAGAAGAGGGGTTACACGGTGTGCACAGGCAACTACGTTGCAACGAACACCCGAAAACACAGGAAAATGAAAAGGGGAACTGCGGGAATTGAACCCGCGACCTCTCGTACCCTAAACGAGAATCATACCACTAGACCAAGTTCCCAGTGGGGACTGCCTATCTTCTCTACTCTCCATGCGAAGGGAGCGCGTTCGGTTCGTTGCGCACTGCCGCCGCGGTCTGACAATTGATGGCAGTTTTATTAAAATAACAAAAATAACTCCTCTCTCGACCTCTCTCCCTCGGTCCTGAGCAGGACGTAAAAAGGCTTGGCTTGCTTTGCCCTCTGGACCAGCCCGGCTGCGCCAGTTGCGGCCCGCGAGTCGGAAGACCGTCTAGTGCAGCTTCTTTTAATGCTGGAAGCTGTATTAGATAAGAGGAGTGGCGTCCTGCAGGCCGATACTGCCTGCCTACGCAGCTACGCCGGGTCGCCGAAGAGACAGCACAGTTGACAGCCGTGCAGCGCGCAGTGGAAGCCCAGGCAGTCGGCTACAACTTCAGGAAGATGTGCTCGGCAATAGTTGAGCGCTCGCTGGTACCCAAGCTGGCGCCTGGAGTTGTGTCATGGTCGCAGCAGTAGGACTACAACAGAAGCAGGCAAGGTGCTGGTAATGCTCGAGGTGCTGCGGTGCCCTTGCAATCGCCTTTCACCACATGATGTGATTGGCTAGGCAACCCCTTGTGACTGTTGAGCGTGCTGGACTGCTGGTTCAGTGTCTGGAGTGTCCTTAAAGTCCTTCTGCAGGCTGCTGCAGTTGGTGGCCTGCAGCGGCAGCAACGTGTTGCAGATGATGACCCCTGCAACTGCTGCTATGGATCAGTAGATTGCCTGCCAATAGTGCTGTCTGGGCAGTGTACTTTATTTGGTTTGTGTCTGCTGCGCGTAGGGAGCAGCAATGTGCTTGCATTCACATTGCTGTTCTCACATCAGCCGTTGTCAAATGCATTACGTGTCTGGGCAGCTACCTGGGGCTGTGGTGGTGCCCGTACTTGTGGCGACAGTGTAGCCATCTGGTGGAGTTGCTGCATGTAGGTAGCGGTAGGAGTGGTTTTTGTTTTTGTAGGTCAGCTTAGCTAGCCGCAGCGGTAGGAGTGGTTTTCTTCTTGCTTGGATGTAGTACAGCCTAGTGCTTGTCATGCAGCAACAGCAGTGTGGTGTTGCAGCCAGGTCTCTGTAAGTGTGTATGCTTGCATGCCCTATCATGCCGTGCGCTTGCATGCTTGCTTGCCATGCCATGCTGTTCCTTGGAGGCGGCCACTCCGTTCTGCTGCAGCATTGTGGTCAATTTGCTAGGCGGGCAGTAAGGCTGCAGACTTGCTGTTCCGTCGTGATGGTGGTGGGGGACGGAGTTGGAATTGAAACCCTACCTGGCTGGTATGATACGCCAGTTCAAGAGGCTGGAATTGCCTGGCCCCCATGTGTAACAAACACAAACAAACCTCGCTGGCTTGGTGCAGCTTGGCGCCAGTGTTTGCCAACCCCTTCCTGCAAGCTGGGCTTGGGTTTGTGCCGGGCGGGCTGCAGTGCCTGCCGGTGCCCGCTAAGCGCAGGGAGCATGAGTGTCGTGGCGGCAAATGCAGGCCGCGTCTTCGCACTGTGGCTGATCTTATTCGGGCGTGGTATCTCATTCAGCGTGTTGTTCAGCAGCAGTTGCCGCACCCGTTGCTGCCTTACGGCTCCAACTACAGCAATGCTGACAACGAGGCTGAGGATTTGCAAGGCCTGGTTGATAAACTGCCCGTTGCATGGACTATGGCTGTTTTGCCTGTTGTGCAGCATCCTGCCGCAGACCGGCCTTGGCCGCCTGCGGCTGTGCCGGACCCACCATGTATACCTTCTGCAGCAGAACAGCAAGTTGAGGCCATGTTGGTGGCTCGGCTGGGTTGGCAAAATGTCCGAGGCAAGGCTGTTCCTGTTGCACAATTGTCTGTTAGTGAAGCCACCTCACTGCAGCTTGGTCCGCTGCGTGCTGAGCGCCGTGCGAAGCGCACTGGGTTTGTCCAGGCTGCGCTGGGCTCAGGTGCTGCACCAGCAGCAGTGATTGATGGCTTGAAGTGGGTGGCAGCTAACCAGAGCATGCTTTGGAAGATGCGCTGGGATAATAATTTCAAAGAGTTGTACTGGCGGCTTATTATGGATGGCCTGCCGACATCGCAGCGTATGCACAAGTCGGGTGACACTTGCATGTGTGGCGCTGCCTGTCCTGGTTGGGTTCATCATTTTTGGGAGTGCCCTGTTGCGGTAGCAGTGATTGACAGTGTGCTGTCTGAGTTGCCTGCTGCTTGGTGCACGCGGGCTGCAGGCCGCCCGCCGCTTGCTATGCGGCATGTTTGGTTGATGCAGCCGCCAGCTGGCCCTACTAAGCTCCGCAGGGGCGTTTGGAAGGTTGTCTGCCTAGCTGCTCTAAATGCCATGGATGTTGGCAGACGACATGCTAATAAGCTGAGCATCCCGCCGCCCGCCCTGGCCGTGCAGCAGCCACCGCCGCTGCCGGCGGGCCAGGCGCTTATCACTGATACACTACAGCATGCAGCTCTCACTGCTGCGCAGCAACAGCATAATCAGCTGGTAGAGCAGCGCCGACAGCAGCAGCAGCTGCATCAACAACAACAGCGACAACAGCTGGTAGCGCAGATGTTACAGGAGGCTAAGCAGCAAGCGGTGTTAAGGTTTTGGGAGTTGCTTGCTGATTTTGTGGCAACAGAGGCAGCGCCCGCTACTTGGCGGGTTGCGGTGCCTGGCAATCACCCGTTTCTGTGCTCTGATCCAGCGCAGCTGCGCATTGTACTGGCGCCCCGCTCTGGTTGACCTTCCTGCCTCTGCATGTTGTGCTGTCAGCAGTTGTCGATTTTCCAGTTTCTGTCAAGGACATGTTGCATGTGTTGGGTGTCACAGCGCTGGTTTCTCAGCTCTTTCCTCCGTGCTGCATGTTTCTGTCCTTGTCAGCCGTAAGGATTGCAGAAGCAGCAGAGCCCTAGTTTGCCTTAGTTTGCCTTAGTTTGCTTTGATTTGCCTGTCAGTCGTGCACTGCGTCAGTTATGCATGCTCCTGCTTGCTGCAGTCTGGTGAGTACAGCAGTGCCTTGATGCAATCATGCCAGACATTCATGGTGAGCAGCACCTTTGTGCACCCCGCTTACTGTTTGGACCATGCTTGTCCTTCCCTGTGCGCTTTTTGCCTGGTGCGTGGAGCACATGCTGCTTTTCGTGCTGCTTTTCGCACTTGCTGCCCTGCATGTACATGTTCGTTTATGGGGAGATAGGGGCTGCGAGACGCCTCTGGAGTTTTCTTTGGTGGCGTCTTGTGGCTTGCTATCGAGTTCATACGATATGTGAGCTGAAAGTAGGGCGAGTGACTCACTCTCGGGTGATAGCTTGCCTTCTCCTGTAACAAGCCTCTCTCCTCGCCTGATCCAGCGCAGCTGCGCATTGTACTGGCAGAAGCAGGCAAGGTGCTGGTAATGCTCGAGGTGCTGCGGTGCCCTTGCAATCGCCTTTCACCACATGATGTGATTGGCTAGGCAACCCCTTGTGACTGTTGAGCGTGCTGGACTGCTGGTTCAGTGTCTGGAGTGTCCTTAAATTCCTTCTGCAGGCTGCTGCAGTTGGTGGCCTGCAGCGGCAGCCACGTGTTGCAGATGATGACCCCTGCAACTGCTGCTATGGATCAGTGGATTGCCTGCCAGTAGTGCTGTCTGGGCAGTGTACTTTATTTGGTTTGTGTCTGCTGCGCGTAGGGAGCAGCAATGTGCTTGCATTCGCATTGCTGTTCTCACATCAGCCGTTGTCAAATGCATTACGTGTCTGGGCAGCTACCTGGGGCTGTGGTGGTGCCCTTACTTGTGGCGACAGTGTAGCCATCTGGTGGAGTTGCTGCATGTAGGTAGCGGTAGGAGTGGTTTTTTTGTTTTTGTAGGTCAGCTTAGCTAGCCGCAGCGGTAGGAGTGGTTTTCTTCTTGCTTGGATGTAGTACAGCCTAGTGCTTGTCGTGCAGCAACAGCAGTGTGGTGTTGCAGCCAGGTCTCTGTAAGTGTGTATGCTTGCATGCCCTATCATGCCGTGCGCTTGCATGCTTGCTTGCCATGCCATGCTGTTCCTTGGAGGCGGCCACTCCGTTCTGCTGCAGCATTGTGGTCAATTTGCTAGGCGGGCAGTAAGGCTGCAGACTTGCTGTTCCGTCGTGATGGTGGTGGGGGACGGAGTTGGAATTGAAACCCTACCTGGCTGGTATGATACGCCAGTTCAAGAGGCTGGAATTGCCTGGCCCCCATGTGTAACAAACACAAACACAAACAAAGTACTGGCGCCCCGCTCTGGTTGACCTTCCTGCCTCTGCATGTTGTGCTGTCAGCAGTTGTCGATTTTCCAGTTTCTGTCAAGGACATGTTGCATGTGTTGGGTGTCACAGCGCTGGTTTCTCAGCTCTTTCCTCCGTGCTGCATGTTTCTGTCCTTGTCAGCCGTAAGGATTGCAGAAGCAGCAGAGCCCTAGTTTGCCTTAGTTTGCCTTAGTTTGCTTTGATTTGCCTGTCAGTCGTGCACTGCGTCAGTTATGCATGCTCCTGCTTGCTGCAGTCTGGTGAGTACAGCAGTGCCTTGATGCAATCATGCCAGACATTCATGGTGAGCAGCACCTTTGTGCACCCCGCTTACTGTTTGGACCATGCTTGTCCTTCCCTGTGCGCTTTTTGCCTGGTGCGTGGAGCACATGCTGCTTTTCGTGCTGCTTTTCGCACTTGCTGCCCTGCATGTACATGTTCGTTTATGGGGAGATAGGGGCTGCGAGACGCCTCTGGAGTTTTCTTTGGTGGCGTCTTGTGGCTTGCTATCGAGTTCATACGATATGTGAGCTGAAAGTAGGGCGAGTGACTCACTCTCGGGTGATAGCTTGCCTTCTCCTGTAACAAGCCTCTCTCGCCGCGTCTTCGCACTGTGGCTGATCTTATTCGGGCGTGGTATCTCATTCAGCGTGTTGTTCAGCAGCAGTTGCCGCACCCGTTGCTGCCTTACGGCTCCAACTACAGCAATGCTGACAACGAGGCTGAGGATTTGCAAGGCCTGGTTGATAAACTGCCCGTTGCATGGACTATGGCTGTTTTGCCTGTT